CAGGGCCAACCCAGGGGAGCTCAGCTGCATGCAATACAATGCACTGATTGACCTGAAGGGCTGGAGCTAGGACCCACCCCTTCCCAACCCTTTTAAGGGCTGGCATTGGAGATATGGCTATCTCCCTGAAGATCCCTGTGTACTTGAGGCTTTGTGAAGGTAAGCAGCTTCTTTCCTTTATTTCTGTGCCCCTGGTTGTTGTGTCTCAGCAAATCCTTGCTTGCTGCTGCCTGGAGCTTTGCTGCTCTGCTGTTGTTGCTGCATTTTCCATTGTGTTACAGCATTATAAGTGTTAACATTTTAAGTTACTATAAACACAGAACTGGAAAAAAATAAGCATGCTGTAAAGAGTCAGACTGCATTATGAAGCAGAGTAAGCGTGCTGCTCTGGTGTCTTGATGAAAGATAAAGTAGAAATTGATATATGTACCTGCCACTTTCTTTGTGCTCACACTTCAGAGCGCTCTATTGAGCAATGAGTTGGGGTTACATCACAGAGCACAATCATACAGAGATCCTGAGATTCTCTCAGAAAGCTTTGGAGGAGTAGATATGGGCTTCCAGGCAGGGGATGAGAATGGTGTATTCAGGTGTGCGTGTATATCCAGTAAATTATTCAGCCACTAGATGTCCCAATGTGTGGAGCTGCAAATCCAGCATGAGCAGTGATGTACAGAAATTACAAACCTGGGACTCAGTGCTGATTATCTGCATATTTTTAGCCCATGGATTTGCAATTCCTAGAAAACTGCTGAAGAGGCTCTAAAACACAACCAAAAATGAGGCTCCAAAACACAACTCAACAGCAGGTTTGCATGCAGGCTGTGACTGGCTGATTAATTGCCATCATGCACACAGGTTGTACTTGTATACTGGCTTAGCAGATGCTGTAGCTACTCAGTCTGTTAAGGATTGTTTCTAAGTACCACGTGGCTGGATTCAGTACTGCATCTTGCTGCTAAATGTTGTTTTTCCAGATCATGCGATTTTGAGAGATTTTACAAACCCAAAGAAACATGGGTCTACTGCTAAAGGAAATGCAGTGTTGAAACCCTGACCTTATGCAGATGAGTGAGAGATGTAACATGGGAGGAGGAGAAAATGATGAAATTCAGCTGATTTTTATTTTTTTTTTTTAATTATTGTTAATTCCTATATCATAAGCAGTGGAAATGCCATGCCTTCATCTCGCAGCTGCTCTCTCTGCCTGTGAGAACCCCCAGCCATTTACCTGCAAGATGTGTGCAGTGAAATTCCATGTTGCTGAGGGATGTTCTGTGCTCAGGAAGAGCTTTTGAGCCAGCCCTTGTTGTAGAGATGAAGAAATGGCTGGGCAGAAGGAGCACCCAGCTGTTGTTGTTATTGCTGGCTTAACTGTGTATTATTCAAGCAGGGTTGGGTTGGGGGTCTGTGTTCTTTGACTATCAGGTGGTCCAAAGCTCCTCACTCACATATCCATGCACTGGGATGAGAAGGTTCTGTGGAGTGGCAGATAGATTCAATCACAGACTTGAGGCCAAAGGATCAAGATGGATTTCAGCTGCTTTTCTGCACATTCATGTCTCATGGAGTGCTGCACTCAGCTGTTGCCTCCTGCTGGTTCACCTGCCCTGGTACGGTCTGAGAGAAGCAGTGGGTGCTGAGGCAAAGCATGGTGTTATTTTGGGGCTTTTATCTTAACCAATTTTCAGTTCCAGTTTTGTTTAGAGAATTGTTGCGAGTGAGAGAAGGGGAAGAATAAATAACCAAAATATGCAAAGAGTAAATAGGGCTTTTATTGGCTTCTGTGTGCTTACAGCAGAGCCCATTCAGAGTTCTTAGTGTAATTTCATTAGTGATTTGTTGTTACAGTTCTTGCCTGCTCATGAATTATTTACCTGTTGTACAGGTGTGAGTATTTGCATTAGAGCCAACTGGTGCATGTGTAATGTTCTCTGTGAAGTACATCAGTGGGGTGGGTGCATTTATTCTCCTTTTATCATTCCATCCATTATGCATGCAGTTGTACACTTATACCTGAGGTGGCATTTGAATATGGAATGTTTTTTAGTTGCAAGAGCTGCAAAATGAGGCCAATTCCTTTCTACCTACTCCTGAGAACGTTCCAGCAGTGACCCCCAGCTTATTATCTGACCCCAGGTGATGTGAATTCTGATCTAACTCAGATCACCTGTGGGCTCCTCCAAGGCTGGACATGAAATAAACAAAACGTCATCACCTGCTGCAGATTTCTGTGCTGTGTTTGGGCAGAGAGAGGGATGGGAGCACCTTAGAAAACTCAGCTGGAACATTTTGCTGAGCTGCTGGTGTGGAGGAGGGAACTCTTAATATTTTCCTTCAGACTGCAGTTGTGTGGTTTATTAAAAATTACTGGGATGTTGACACATACCAGGGAGAAAAGCTGCTTTTGCAGTTGTTTAAGTTCATGTGGTTGAAGGCTAGAAATCCATAGACTCTTCAACTATCTTCATGGCACAGTAAGAGGTGCAACCTGAAATGCAGAGATGTGGGGAAAACCACATTGAGTGCACAGGTGGCAGAACTGATGGCTGCAGATTCTGTCTGTCCTTCTGGTTGGTGCTTTTGTGCTGTGTGTGACGTGGTTGGAACCATTCAGGAGGGTTCCTCTGGTTTGCTTTGTTCCTTCTTGCCTTTAGTTTTTCTTTGAACTTCGATGCTTCTGCTGACAGACTTTCAGTTTCTTGAAAATGTAGAAAGCCAGATGTGAAATACGGAGTGTGTTAGAAAACAAATATTGCTGCCAAGCTTAACCATTGAAATGCAAGGGATGAACAAACTTCTTCCTTCCAGCATACTCAGCTTCTCCATTAGTGTTTCTCCCACTTGCCCCAGTAATGCCATGAATCCCCTCTGACTGAATTCCAGATGCACTTTCCTTCTTGCTCACTCCCTGATATCAAAAGGCAGATCCTCCCTTCCCCTTTAACTTCCCTCTGGTTAAACCTCAGTGTGAATTGCAACTATATTTCTAACAGAGGTGGCTCATTGGGCTGCCAGAGCAGATTTAGAGCTTTGTTTCTGTAAGGTGCTGTACTTCCAGTGTGCATCAGTGCTTAAAGAACACATGGTTTCATCTGCAGCTCAATTTCACCAGCTCAGAGGTTGCTGCATTCTCCCCACTGAGGTCTTTTTTTTTTTTTTTTTTTTTTTTTTTGTAGAACACTTTGCATCTTTGCATGTCAGGTGCTCTGATTGAAGTTACCAGCTGCTGCCCTTCTCTGCTTATGCTCTCTCCTTTCCCATCCTAATAGTTCTATAAACTGAGAACTCAGTATTTTAATCCAAAGTGCCAAACATTGACTCAGTGGCATGGGCAGAAACGGTCTGTGAGCTGAACTCAGAGCACGTGGCTGTATGGAATGGATGTCCTTGGAAGTAGGGCTGTGGTTGTTGACATGCAAAGGCTTAAAGAAGCACAGGAGATGCTGTAATGTGCAAAACCATTCCTGTGTGCCTTCCTGATTGTGTTCCTTTGTGGCTTTCTGTTTGTTGTTATTCTTTCGGAGCCCATTGGCCATGGAGATGACCTTAGGCTGTTGAAGAAAATGTATTTTTCATGTGCTTGCTCTCAGCCTTCGCCACTCTGCTCTTGATTGTGGTCAGGCAAACGCATGACAGAAAAGAAATAAGAGAGCTTCCGATGTGATGTTCTCAGATATTGATTTATTTTTTTTCCCCCCCTCTTAAAATTCTGTTTACAAATTCCTGTTGCTTTAATTATGTGTTTCTGGCTGAAAGCAGTACAAAGCTTGCCTGCAGGACCAATTGATAAGCCTTCATTCTAAGTCCATGTAACTAATCCTACTGTATTTCTCCAAAACTCACCGGTCAGGGATTTCTGAGCACTTTGACAGGAGCAGCTGAGCACCCTTAGCATGTGATGCAGGTGGAATAGGGTGATGTTAATGGATGAACTCAAAAATAAGGAATACAGCCCCTCCGCTGATTCCTGTGCTCCTGTTGCCTAGTGCAAATAGGGCTTATCTCCAAAAGAATGGCAAATGGAGAACAAATACATTATCTTAGATTTTATGTCCTTGCTCACTGGTGCACGTTGTGATGCATTGACCTGGAGCGTGCCACGCTTGGCTTCCGCAAAGAGGATTCGGAGTCACGGTGGTACGAACCCAATCACTTTACCCTACAGTTGTGTAGGAGCCTCACGGTGAGCACTTTGTTAGCAACGCTGTGCTCTGAGCGCCTCGCTTTTTGCTACCGCCGCTCCCTGCGGCTGCACCGAGTCCTGAAACGCGTGGGGTGCAGCTCCCTGAACCCCAAAGCTTTGCTCCTCCTCTGCCTGCAGCCGCTTTGCACCTCTTAACTGCCTAAGTAAGGCAGAGCGGCTGTACCTGAGCACACCTGGGCTTGTTGGCCCTTCTGTGCACCGAAATAGGTGGTTTGCAGCGAGCCGGGGGGAAGGGAGCGTGCAACAGTGCCCCTCACGGCAAGGAGAAGCACGCTTGGGCCAGGCGCTGTTAGTAAAGATGGCACAAGCGCTGTTTGCTGCGGGCTGAGGCGCTGCTCCCCGCGCACCTGTTAAGGGCGGTGCTTTGCTAAGGAGAGCGTGGCTGGAGGGAGGGGGAGAGGCAGGCAGGATGCGCTCTACTCCCACCCCCTCCGCTCTCTGCTCGGCCCCGAACACCGGAGCTCTTCGGGGGGGCTCTGCGCTTTGCCCAAAGCACCTGGCCCCGCCCCACGTGCGGCTAATTAGCGGCGGGGGAGGGGCGGCTCATTAGGGATGCGGGCGCGCACGGCGCCTCGGAGGCAGTCGGCGGGAGGAGCGGCGGCAGCGCGGGGCTACGGGCACAGCTCCGGCTCAGTGCGTGCGGGGGGGGTGGGGGTTAGGCGAGAGGAGGGGAGGAAAACAGGAGGGGGGGGGGGAAACAACGCGGGAAGCGACTTCTCTCTTCACCTGCGGCTCCGGCGGAGGTTTGCAGCCTCAGCTCCGGTCGAGGAAGGAGCGGAGTTGCGGGGCCGGCATGGGCGGAGGGGCTGAGAGGGGCGGCTGCGCCCCGCGCCTGGAGCTGCTGCTGTTCCTGGGGCTGTGCGGCCGCGCGGCAGCGCTGAGAGGTAAGCGGGATCCCCAAGCCATCCCTCCCCGGCAAGTTTGTAGACGGAAACCCTCGGCCGGCCCCGAGCACCGTTTGCTCTGCTGGGCGAACCCCCGTCATTTAAAAAAAAAAACAGAAAACAAAACAAAAAAAAAAACCTCTCCTCACTCCATAACCCCACGGGATCGCGGTGGGAGGCGAAGCGGATATGCCCCAACGTTGGGGTAAGGAGAATAGAGCCCTGCAGGAGAGAAACGGGGGCCAGGGACCGAGGGCGGGACGCAGCTCCGGTCTGCGGAGCATCCTCGGGAATGCGGCGTGTGCGGGGCTGCGGGCAGCGCTGGGATACCCGCAGCGGTCGCGGGGAGTGGCGGAGCCGTCCCGAAATGATGGGGCTGCGAGATCGTGGACTGTTCTGACAGCGAGAGAATCCAACACCTGGCAGACAATGCGAGTGCCTGCGCTTGGGTGCGCGTACGCGCGGTGTTATTGATGTACGTGCGATGTCGGGGTCCGTCCCCACCTCCAGCCTGGCACTTCGGTACGTTGAGCTCCGATAGGGCCGGGCACCGCGCATCGTTGGACCCGGTGCTGTGGGCTGCACAGAACGTTCCCTCCTGCTGTTGCGGTTTTACAGAGCAAACCTGCAGCAGGCTTTGTAGATCCGAGCACATCCCTCTTGTTGTCGCCTTTCTCGATCTCTCCACGCGTTCCCGCTGGGGCTGTGCCTCCATCTGCTGCTGTGGGACACCATCCTCTGGTCGGGCATTGCCCGTGGGTCAGACGCAGGGCTGGGCCACAGGTGGCTGCTGGGCAAAAGCATCCCTTGTAGAACTGAACTGAACGATGAGAATGGGGGGAAGGCTGATATTACTTAGTATTTATTTCAAAAGGCATTTGTGACCATAAGGGACTGCATGTGTGTGTTTAAATCGGTGTTTCCTATGCATCTGGAAGGACTCTGGGGTGGATCTCACACTGGGAAGTGTGGTTGGGATCAGGCCCCGTGAGCCTCAGAAATGTCACTGCAAACCGTGTGGGTGTAGTGGGGCTGTTGCTGTTAAAGAGTTTTAGTTCAACTAAAATTTTCCATCCAGGACGTTTCAGGCTGAAATAGGATGGTTTGGTTTGGGAGTTGTGGGTATCCTTAGGGTCAGCTGGTGGCTGCGGTCTCTGAGCTGTGATGTGCTGTGTTTGGTTGTGGCTTTGGCCGAAGCAGTGAACCCCAATCACCGACCTGCTGAGCTGTAAGGGATGCAGGTGAAGTTATCTTCAAGCCCCCTCTGAGACAAATGGTATTCCGAGATCCTGGTTTGAACTGAGTTTAAAGAGAAATGAAATGACTGTAGATAACCTTCACGCTGCATTTGTCTGTTGGAAGGAATGTCTGTGCATTGCTTTGGGCTTTTATTTTACAGCAAACAGTGCATAGACACTGAGGGAATTTGAAAACGAGGTGGAAGTTGCTAATATTTTTTTAATCTCATTGAGGTATTGAAACTAGTTTTAGGCTGCATGTATCCAAGTAAAGATGTCTCTAAAACGTGAATGCTGGTTTTGCTCTGCATCTCAATATTAAAGCCTAAAGCTACGTGTTTCATTGTGTTCCTACATCTGTGTGCTTTTTGTTGTAAATAAGCACCGTTTAGGGATTTTCCTTCTCTTGTTGCAACAGTACCAGTGCAGCCATTGCTTCTCACTTCTGGTTTTATTACAATAAATGCTCCGCTAAGCCTCCTCATGGAACAGGGCATGGCTGAGCAGCGAGCCATAGGAGAGGGTGTCTCAGTTTGGAATTGAGGGATTTTTATTTTTTTATTTATTTATTTTAATTTGACTTTCTTTTGTTTTCTTAATATCACCCAAAATATGCGGTCTGGAGAGCTGTGAATTTAAGGCATTGCTCTGATCTGGGAGCTCAGCAGACAAACCAGGTTCTGGGCAACAGAGCTCTTGGAGGAATAATGCTTTAGGGAGATAAAAGCAGTTGATGCTAAGATGAATCCAATGGCAGGGACAGGACTGATAGGTGAGTTGTTTGTGTCCTGGTTCTACCTCTTGTCTGGAATTTAATGCCATCCTTGCGCAAATTAGATGAACTTCTGTTTGCTTCATTACGAACGGGCTGGAATTGCGTTTGTGTATCTAGATTCTCTCAGTATTTGCAGTGTACCTCATTGCCACCAGCTTAGAGCAGCCTGGGAGCCACCGCTGCTGCTTTTATTTGCAGAGCGATGTGGATTTGCTGCGCTGCATTCAAGGAGCAGGGAGGCTTTTTGTGTCCTGATTTCTGCATCTGAAGGAGGTGTGTTATGGCTGGTGTTGCGTTAGATTGTCTTCAGTTCTCATTCTCTGTTCCTCGTGCCCCGCTGAGAGTAAAGCTGTTTATTTGTTCCTATGTTCACCAGTTTACTACCTGGAATATCTCTCATGTGCCGACCTCAACTGAACAGACGCTGTCAGCATATGGATTTATGTGATCTTAAAGTACAAATGTCACCAGGATCTCAGCAAAGCGGAGAACTGAGATATTAACAACTGACGTGGGGTGAACAAAAATCAAGGAAAAGCTCTCATGAGCTGTGTGCATCAATTGTATGACTGTATTCACACACATCACATAGTTTTGCTGCATGAGGAAAAAGCATTCATTAAAACAACAAATCCCATCTCTGAGCCATCCTTCTACTCACCGTGCCTTTGTTTCTCTGCCAGTATTTGTATCTACTTCTCAGCTGCTCAGGGAAGAAACTTCTTTGACTTGGGGCTGTGGTTACTGAGTAGTTGGTTGCTTCTCTCTGGTCTCCATGAAGATACAAGCTTGCTTTGCTTGTGCTGAGGTCTTGCTTTGTGTAGGAAGAGAAAGGAAGGTTTGGGAGAGGAGGATGGAGAAGCCTGGGGGCTCAGAAAGCAGCATTTCAACGCTGCCATCAGAACGTGGAAGTTGTTATGCTTTGGGACTGACAGAATCAGTGCATGTATTAGTTCTTTTAAGTCACTGTTCAGTGGTGTGTTGGCTTCCAGTCAGTCCTGCTCTTTTCTGCATCTATTGCCGTGCTCATCTGCTATAGCATAGTTCATGAGATGAGGTGGGATAGAAGAAGCATTTCTATTGAGCGTGAGGCTGACTTTGGACCCTCTGTAGAAGGGAGATCCACTTATTGGGATCGTTTTAATTTGTTCCCTGATCTACTTGGGTGTATTGCTGCATTGCTCAGAGCACACTGAATTTATTTCCTGCATCCTGTTGCAGCCAACGTTGGTGCCAAATGCTGCTGAGACAGAAAGCTGAGGAGTTGCACATATGATCCTATGTTGGAAGTGTGGTGCACACATCTCCATCCCACTGTTCCTTTCTGACGTGCATCTCTGGGTGATATTCCCTCCTGTCTTTCCATAAAGGAACCCCTTCCCTGCAAAGCAGTGTGTTGCAGTGCTGCTTCTCCCTGGCTCCTCATTGTGCACTTGTGCTTCTCCACATCCACACAGTAGAGCTCTGCAATTCTTATCTCTTCTGATGCAAAGAATGAAGCTTGAGCTCTGCAATGATGAAATGAGCTTTCCAAGCTATGAAAGAAAATGTCCATCTTCGCAGAGGCAGGGGACTCTGTATCAGGCTGAATTGTTAGCAGTGAAGAAGAGAAGCTAATCTGATGGTTGTTTCACAGCGAATTACAGAACGCAAACATCAACAGTCTGATACAAGCCTAGATGGAAAATTACTTATGGTGCAAAGGATCCCACAGGGCCATCTGATGTATGTTTGCTGTATTTTCAGGCCTGCTTTCTGGGGAAAGGTGGAGTCAGAGGGAAGGAGCAGAATGTTAACACCAGAGGCTGCTGTTTCTGTTGTTTTCAGCAGCTGCCGCTGTTGCAGTGCAGCAGATGGTCAGCTTCATTTCTATGAAATGGTTTTTTTTTTTTTCCATTTCTACTTTTAGAGAACCTCAATTGCCACACTGCCTCACCTTACAGCATCATTATTTGTAAATGCCATTTTTTTTTTTTTTAATGCTTAACCGTATCTTATGTGGTCCATAAACCACATTGGAGAACATCTTGCCAAGAAGGCATCGAAAGCTTCTAATTTGAATACACGATTTGGTGACCTCAGTCTCAAAATTCTACCTCCACCACTTTGGTTTGTGGTTTTTGTCCATTTCCCCCTTCCCACCTCCTTTTTGAGGCCTTTTTTAAAGCAGCAAACAGGAACAGCAGCAATAAAGAAGTGCTCATTGTGGTGCAGTTCCATGTGTTGGGGTGATGAGTGGCACCCAGTGCCCCCTGCTGGGGTTTGAGGCTGTGTTTGTGTTTTCCTTCAGTACTTTGAAGGCACGCTGGATGCTTCTCTACATAAAATGGTGCAATAAAAGAGCTCAGCTTATGTGCAGATGAAACCTACTGAGTATGTCTGGAGATGAGCAGTGTAAGCAAAACAAGTGCAGTAGGAAATAGTGTTGGTGGGTGGGTGGTGATGGTGGTGTTCCTTATATTGGTGCCTGTTGTAACAATAGGAAAACTTGAAAATCAGAAGCTTTTTATTTATTATTCCTGTGCAAAACATCCAAACTTTGCAGCTGTCAGGAAGCACAGAACACACAGCACACCTGCTCTTACCTTTATGCTGAATGGGCAGTTGCTTCAAGTTTGGATGTATTCTCTTTTTTTCTCAGCAATACGTTTTGTGGATCTCCACTGTTTCTTCTTCAAGCACTTCTGCATGTGAAATTAAATTGCTGGAGTCCTGGCAGGCAATGGGTGTGAAAGGAGCAAATGTGGAGGCTTCTTAGAAGTGCTGAATAGTTACTCACAGAATGGCTTCCATGCTTACAATGCTCCTAATAATAGATTGCATTGCCGAAAAACAAATTTGCTCTATTAATTGAATTCACCTGTCATATAAAACCGCATCTGATCTGCAGTTCAACAGATGCGTCTGTGACTTTTATGGTGACAAATGCTTCAGGTTAGCAGTGTTTTGGGCCAGATTTAAAACCACTGAGGGTCTGTGGTAAGCCA